GTCATTGTGGAGATTTCAGAGGGAAGTTTGCCAGTGATCTGATTTCCCTCTAAAGTCAAAGATGTCAATCCAGTCATCTCATAAAGTTCCATGCGTAACAGCTGAAAGTGGTCCAGTTGTGCCATTGCTCCCAAAGTATATTGCAGACAAGGAAGTCAAGAGGGAAATCTCAGGTGGCAAAAATGTCGGAAGACCAGAGAGCTGCAGGTCTTCCAAATGAAGAGCGGTGAATTCCCCAAAGTCATTGCAAGGACTGTCATTCCATTCATCCCATTCATAGTATTTTCCATCATCCCCACGATGCAAAGTATCCAAATCCACTTGAGAACCACATGCACTCTTCCACAGTATCATCCATCCACCTATCATGAACAGGCTTGTACCAGTTCTCTCGTTCAAATGAATAAAAGAATGTAGCCAGAGCAAATAACTGTGTCTTCCTCCATTCTGGAAGAAAGGTAATATTTTGGTGATGTGCTAGCCATTGCCATGCTCTCCATTGTGGGGTCTCACTGCCATTGTTGAGGCATGCCAACGTGTAGTCTGGTAGACCATCCAACAATGAGTCGAGAACGCCAGTGGGGGCAGAGGAAGGCACCTCAGATGGTTCCATGGAAAGAAAGACTGTAGGCATGGATGTATCAGAAATACAACTCGATTCATTGTCGTTGTTCTTTTTGGTTCCCACCACAGTATCAATGATAGCAGCAGCCGCCAAAACCAACAATACCAAAATAAAGCCAAACGTTTTCTGCTGATTTCTGATTCTTTCTTGTTTTTCTTTCTGCTCTCTGACATTGATGGGATTGGCATGCAGGAGCGTGCTGGGTGTGTTGAAAGTAACCGAGATTCGATTGGCCACTGCTAGGTTCCATTCACTGCTGGTGGGAAATTCATCCTCTGGTTGAAGCAGTGTGGAGGAATCATGATGATCTGTATCCTCCATCTGCACTAATGGCTCAGCATTACCAACTGCACTGGCGCCAACAAGGGAGAATCGTAACGTAGTTGAACGTTGCAAGGCTTCTCCCGGTAAACCCATGTAGGCTCCTGGTCTTGATGATAGTTGTTGCCTCTGCTGTTGGCTAGGTTCTGCATGGTTGTGTGGGTTCTACAGCCTGTTCATTTGAAACATTTGCAAACTTCTTCATTTTGGCATTTTCATTGATTTCAATTGCTATGTGCATGAGATCGTTGATGGCCGCGATATCTTCGACCACCTCACGGGAAGAAGCTGCCTGTCCACTTTGGAGAAATGATAGCCGGTGGCCTTGTTGGGTGCTGCTGCTGAGCTGAGCTTCCATGCCAGCATATTTGTGTTGTTGCTTGCCTTATGCCCGAGTCCCTGCTCGAGTTCTCGGCATCGCGAGCTACCGGTACCGTCGTGGTCACCAGTGTTCCCAGCATCTTCCTTCCCGTTCGTTTCTTCTTCTGGGATCCCTGCCTGTTGTTGTGTCTTTCGAGAAGGAATACCAGCATTTGTCCTTTGTCGCCGATGAGCACTCCGAGACTGCCCGCTGCCTGCCTGACTGCCATGCAGGTGAAGGTCGTCCCTGATTGCTTGACTGTTTCATGGTTTGCCCTGCAAGTTCGTCATTGCACGCTGCAAATGAGTGACAGCTTGAATCGAATGGAATCGCTTGGTAAGTCGAGCCAGTGTGACACGAAAAAACACGTGCGAGACCTATAGTGGCAGTCATCATGGAGCGTCCGTTTTTAAAAGGATGTCATATAGGCTGTAGGAGTGAGCCCGGCAAAGGATCATCGTGTCATCTGCCTGCTCGTCGATGGAACCGTGGCGGTGACGGAAGACAGCAAAAAGGAGCCGTGCAACTGAGCATTTACGTGGGGTTTTGCTTTCGTTTTTATCATTGCATCTATGCATGGTTTGCCTTCCATTACTGCCGCTGTCGGAGCTTTGCAGTTGCCAGCGGATTTAATTAATCACAAGCCTTTCGAATGGCGATCTTGCACGCAACGGGCGGAACATCACGCACGCACAAAGATGAACGAGCGACATGATGGTCCCCGGGGGTGGCACAAACTATGCATAACCCATCAAGCCACTCTCACTCCGGCTGAGCAGTCCCGCCTCAATCGCAGTCGTTGCACTGGCTCCTGGCTTGCAGTCATGCCCAATATTGCCAAACGCACTCACCTCTCTGCTCAAGAATGGCGTGATGCTCTTTTTCTCCGGTTCGGTCTTACCCCCCCAGCTCTTCCAGCACTTTGTGATGGCTGTACTGGTCCCTTCAGCGTTCCACATGCTCTGGATTGCAAACGCGGCGGCTTAATCATCCGTCGCCATAATGAAATCCGCAATGAACTTGGTTCTATTGCATGTGAATGCTTTGGTTCCTCTAGCGTCCAGTCAGAACCACCCCTTCCCTCTGTTCCCGCCCCTACTATCCCTGCCGGTCACCCAATTTCTACCTTACCTCCCCTTCCTCCCCCCCTCTCAATCCCCCTCCAGCCCCCGAGCTCTTACGTGGTGATCTTTCTATTCGCGGCTTGTTTGAACGAGGTACTACAGCTATTATTGACGTACGTGTCACTGATTTGGACTGTGCCTCTTACCGCAACAAAGATCCCGTCAAAGTTTTAACCCAACAAGAAGCGACAAAATTTCCAAATATAAAGAGCGTGCGATCCAATCGCGCTTCCTTCCACCCTTTGTTGTTTCAGTGGATGGCATGCTTGCCCCTCAAGCCAAGACTCTCTTACAACGCCTTGCTTCTGCTACTGCCTCCAAAACTCAATTTTCCTACTCTCAAATGATGTTCTTCATGCAGACCCGTATCTCAATTGCCCTTGTGAAAGCTACCCATTTATGTCTCCGTGGATCCCGCAAAGCCAAACCCTTTGCCCCCCGTAATGGTCCTCAATTTCTTGCCCCAGATCCCACAGAATCTAGTCCTGAATTTCGACTGTTCTTTGCTTAAGCCTGGCCCTGGCTGGCTTCCGTAGATAATTTCCCTACTCTAAACCCCCTTATATATGCATAACTGTTACTGTCTTATCTCGAGTTTTCCCGCATTATCGCCGAAAAAGAAGGTGGTAGAGGTCGGTTGAAAATGGTAAACAATGGTAAACAATGGTAGAAATGGAAAGGCGGTAGAACAGGCTGTTGAAGGCGGTAGCAGGCGGTAGAACAAGCCTGCTAAAATCCCTAAGCAATCCAGGTTTTGTTCCCCACTCCCAAAGTATCATTGGAACACGCACAATCACATCCACACAGAGCAGAGGTACAGTCAAACCCAAGAAAACAGGTGTAATCTCCACTGCCAGGCCAAGGTTCATAAGAACAAGAAGAATTTTGCAAGAAACAGAACTCCACCGGGATGGTTCCAGACAAACCAAGATTGACAGTCAGATTCACAGAAGCCAAACTTGACATGAGCCCAAGCTCTGAAGGAAAAGGACCTGATAATAGATTCTCATGCAAGTGCAACTCAACCAACTCACTCAGATGACCCAGTTCTGAAGGGACCTGGCCACTGAGCTCATTTTCATGCAACCATAAATCGGCTAAACCAGTCAACTGTCCAAGCTCACAAGGGATTTTGCCAGTCAATGGATTTCCACTCAACTGCAACAAAGACAAACCTTGCATCAACCCCAGCTCTGTAGGAACTTGGCCAGTCAATTGATTGGAATTTAACCGTAACCAATTCAAAGCAGTTAGCAGTCCCAACTCAGAGGGAATCTGGCCGGACAACTGGTGTCCATAGAACTCCAACCTGTTCAGAACAGCCATTTGCCCGAACTCTGAAGGGATGTGGCCAGTAAACTCATTTTGATTCAACGACAGTGAACTCAAAGCAGTAAGATGCCCAACTTGAGAAGGAATTTCGCCAGTCAATTGATTTCCACTCAACTGCAACCTAGTCAAAGCTGTCAACAACCCCAGTTCTGAAGGAACTTGGCCAGAAAACTGGTTCATATCCAACCTCACATCAGCCAGAGCAGTTAGCAGTCGCAGCTCAGAGGGAATCTGGCCAGTCAGCTGGTTTCCATTCAATTCCAAGCCAGTTAACAAAGTGAGCTGACCAAGCTCAGAAGGGATACCCCCGCTCAACTCATTCGAATTCAATCCCAAGTATAACAAACCAGTCAGCTCATAAAATTCTGATGGCAAGAAAGTTGAAATAGGTGCTGCGATGTCATTCACATGCAATCCAAAAAAAGACAAGGAAGTCAACAAGGAAATCTCTGGGGGCACAGATGGCTGAAGCCCAGACAGCTGAAGGCCATTGAGCCAAAGAGATGTGAATTTCCCATGGTCGTCGCATGGACTGCCAGTTGGCCAGCCCAAATCTGAATAGTGAAAGAACCTTCCGTCCACACCAAAAATTCCAAATACACTAGAGAACCATTCACACTCCTCCTTTGTGTCATCCATCCACCTGTCTCTGATTGGTTGCCACCAACTCTCTCCCTCCAATGAATAGAAGAAGGTAGCAAGAGCAAACATCTGTTCCTTCCTCCATTCTGGCAAGAATGAAATGTTTTGGTGGTTTGCCAACCATTGCCATGACTTCCATTGAGGAGTTGTACTGCCATTGTTGATGCTTGCCAGTGTATGATTGGGGAGACTAAGCAGCAGCAAATCCAGATCACCGGTGGGAGCCGAGGATGGAACTTCGGAAGGAGTCATGGAAAGAAAGACAGTTGGTTCATCGGTTGACTGGTGGGCAATCGACTCAGTTTCTTTTGGTGTTTGGCGAGTTGCAGCCACATATCCCCAAACGATTCCAGCAAGAAGAAGCAACCAGATCGCGGCACCAACAAAGAATCTCTGCTGTTTTGCCTTTTGCAGTTGATGTCTTCGATGAGCTGCTTCTGGATCAACAGGACTTGCTGCCTGCATAAATCCATCTTCAAGGTCTTCCACTACTGGATTGGCCTCTACTAGGTTGGAAGCATGGGATGTTCTGATCGGAGATAAAGAACCAGAGGATTCCAAGGGATGCACCTGCAGAACGGGGTCGCCATCACCACTACTTGCATGGGCCCCCACAAGAGAGTACTGGAGGGTGCTGGTACGGTGTAAGCCTTCTCCTGGAACATGCATGTAGGCTCCCGGTTGAGCTGGCTGTGTCCTCTGTTGGGTTGTCCGCCGCAGTGTCGTTTGCGCGATGGATGCTGGATTTCCTGATTCCAGTACTGCCTGTTCCATGCCGGTGGCATCATGGGAGTTTGATGGGTTAGCAGTCCCACCCTTTTCCATGGAGATACCCTGGCTGTTCATTTTGGCTCTGAGGTCGTCTTCTTGCAGGAGCTGAGCCACTGCCACACTGACTCTCGCTGCCACAATCTCCATGAGATCTATCTCCTCACGATCCTGTGGTTGATCAGTCCCACCCTTTTCCATGGAGATACCCTGGCTATTCATTTTGGCCCTGAGGTCGTCTTCTTGCATAAGCTGAGCCACTGCCACACTGACTCTAGCTGCCACAATCTCCATGAGATCTATCTCCTCATGATCCTCTGGTTGATCAGTTTCACCCTTTGCCATGGAGATACCCTGGCTATTCATTTTGGCTCTGAGGTCGTCTTCTTGCATAAGCTGAGCCACTGCCGCGCTGACTCTCCCAGCCACAATCTCCATGAGATCTGTCTCCTCACGATCCTGCGGTTCATCAATCCCACCCTTTGCCATGGTGTTACCTTGGCTATTCTTTTTGGCCCTGAGTTCTTCTTCTTGCAGGAGCTCAGCCACTGCCGCGCTGACTCTCCCTGCCACAATCTCCATGAGATCTGTCTCCTCATGATCTTGTGGTTGGTCCCCGGTGCTTGCAGTTTCCTGCCTCACGTGATTAGGAAACGATTCCTTCTGCTGCTGTTTGGTTGATGTCTTGTTCTTCTCGACGACGATGTTGGCAGATTCTTCTGCTTGATATTGTGCCGCTTCTAGTTCATCTCGCTTGATGAGAATATCCGTAAACACTTGGTCAATTTCTTCTTCTTCTGGCTTGCTGCTGCTGCTGCTGGAGTTTGCAGCATCTGGGTCCACGCTGCCAACACCAGTGGATGGATTGGAATTGGCTCGTCTGTCCATTCTCTATCGGTGCCTGGTAATACACAGAATGAACTGGAGACTACTACGAATGAAAGAACGAAGTAATAATGATGGTTGTCTTTTTTTTGTGTGGAGGATTTTGATTTAGCTAGTTTTTTGAGGCTTGGGCTTCGGTAGGTGACTTCTTCCCATGGCAAACTACTGACGTATTACTGGTAGCTGGGACGTGCTGGGATGCGCCATGAAATGACCCGGTGAAGGCAATGAGAACGGTCTAAAGGCCGCAACAAAGTGCAGAATTAAAAGGTGTGTTCCCATTGCTGCCTAGTAGCTAGTTTTTGGTTGCCGTCGAGGTACTAGTACTGCCTGCCGTTGCTTGGACAAGCAACCTTCCGTGCTGTGACTCCTCTAGTAGTCTTTATCAAATGCGTTGCCTCGTGCGTATTGCGTTCGCTTCCCAGCGGTATCAAGCACATGCGGTGTCAGCTGTCAAAGTGCCTTGGCTGCGACAAGCAAGATACATACATGTAGATGCATGCATCCCAACAACCGTGACTTGGCTTCGCACTGCAGTCAATACACGTCATTGTAGCAACCGAAACGGGAGGAGGGCAGGCAAGCTATCTCTAAACTTAAACTGTATATTAAGGCTAATGGTTTCTGAGGCGATCCAAGGATCGGCATTTGTGGGACTTCAAGTTGAGAATCCAAAAGGCAACACGTCCTTGTGAAACTTGTTGCCTCCTCCTTGCTTCTTCGTTCTGCGTGTAGTGTTGGCTTCTGTTCACTATTTCGTCTCGACAAGTCAACCCCCCTCAAGACACCATGATGAAGATCCCTGCCCTGCTCGTTGCCTTTTTGGCGTCCGCTTCTGCTTTCACCAGCTCCCAATCTGGCACTGCTTCTACCACCGCTCTCCATGAATCTCAAGTAAGTTGATCTGGCTTGTCTTGACCTATCTGAGGGTATATACCGTGACTTGACTTAACCCAACTTTTAACCTAACTCTTATGCTTGCTTCCTTCCTATTTTAATTTTTTTTAATAGGCCGACTTGGAATCCCTTGCCGGTGAACTGAACCCCGCCATCAAGTACTACGATCCTATGCGTCTGAGCTCATGGAACTTGTGGGGTCAAGGCGATGAAGCCACGATTGGTTTCTTGCGTCATGCTGAAATCAAGCACGGCCGTGTCGCCATGTTTGCCTTTGTGGGATATGTCGTTCAATCCAACTTTCACTGGCCCTGGCCCATGAAATTGGACGGAACTCCCTTTCCTTCTACTGACTTGAGTCCTCCTGAACAATGGGCTGCCTTGCCTGTCGAGTCCAAGCATCAAATTTTGACCTTTATTGGATTCTTGGAAATCTACTCGGAATTGGCCAGCAGTGTCACGGATCCCGAAATCGCGCAGACGCACTACATGAAGGGTGGCAAACCCGGTGTCTTTCCCAAATTTGGACAAGCCGGTGGAATCCCACACCCCGTTCCATTCAACTACTTTGATCCGTTTGGTTTGTCCAAGAACAAGAGTGACGAAGCCAAGGCCAAAGGACTCAAGGCTGAACTCAACAATGGACGATTGGCGCAATTGGGTATCTTTGGATTCTTGTGCGAACAAACCATTCCAGGATCCGTTCCAGGACTTACCGGTATTGTCAAGCCATACGGTGGTGATTTGATTGCCGGAGATGCCTTCACTTTCTTCTAAACGAAAACTATAATAATATAGCTACTTTTTGTCAGGAAGGAAAAAAGAAAGGAACCTAGCAAATATCATCGTTTTTGCCGTTACAGTTGGAGCTCTGGGGGTCAGTTGCGCTGCACCGTCCAACAAAAAACCATAGTGAAACTTAACGTTGCCTCGCACACTCGCCTCTTGCTTCAGGAAAATCGTCAGGAATCATGGCGTCTTGCCATGATGAGCTGCTGATGACAGCCACCAAGCGAATCAAAGCGACACGAGCCGGCTGCCTCCACCATTCGGTAGCTAACGGGAGGACGAACCTGGTTTGCACCGTTTGGGGCTACGGCCGTGGGAGTTGGGTAGTATGATATTGCCAAACCGAAACCATGGCGAGACGCACGAGACGAAGCTGCTTCAACCTTCCATCTGTCATAGTTGCTTCGTACACGGCCGTGTTTGCCACGCACCCTCGTCGCACCCTCAGCCTGGCTGAGAGTGTTTGTGGGCAGCAGACCAAGTTGAGCAATTCAGTGCATCTTGACAATCTGAAGACATTCAGCATGCAAATCTAAGTCTACGCGAGCTGTCTCTAGCCTAGCTAGCTAAGGGGAGGACGAGCTTCGTTTGTTGGCTTCTTCCGAAAGATGGCGTGGAGTGGAGCCCTCGTTTCTAGGCCTTCAAAAGTCGTCTACCCTTCCGCCAAGGGCGTTGTTCGTCAGTTGCGAAAGATGTACGGGGGACCATGGCCAATCCGTCATCCTTCAGATGCATGCAGGGTCGTACAAAAAGAGTAGCTATCTAGGTAGATAGATAATAGTGTTCAATGTACGGTACAGGAGCAAATGGGTGGTTCTCTAGTATGTATGTCACAAGATTGATTACTGTAAAAAGAAAAAAAAGAAGTCCCAATATTTAGGGAAGGATATCCTGAACATTGCCCATGGCATCGTGGACCATGAGTCCCAAGACACCCATTTGAGCGGCACGTCCTTGGTTCAATTCAATGGTGCGTTTCTTGGTCTTCCATTCTGCGGTTTGGCTGTCCCATCCAAAGTCCAAGTATCCGTTGCGAAAGTCTCCTACGAATTCTGCATTTCCTCCAGTCTGGTCTCGGTTGGCCATTTCCATAAAGATCCAAGTGGCTCCCATTTGAATGGAAACATCTCCGGGAAGAGCTTCCCAGGCGGCCCATCCACAGGGGACATCTTCCAATCCTGGCAGACGAACACCGGCATAGGTGGTCAAGTATCCAACAACACCCAACATGGCAACACGGCCGTGCTTGAGTTCCAAAGCACGAAGACGGTTGAATTCTGTGCTGTCAATCTTGTCCAATTTGGCAAAGGGATCAAAGACTCCAAGGGGAGCTGTCACACCAATGTCATTGACATAGTCGGCCTTGGCGTTGAGCGCAGTAGAAGCACTGGACTGCTGGGGCGCAGCAGGCACAAAGGCAGAGGCAGAAGCCACCAAAGAGGCAAGGAGAGCAACAGTCTTCATCATTTTTACTACGTTCGTTGTTGTTGGGTTGAGAAATTAATTGTGCCTCAATCAATGCACTGGAAAAGAGAAAGAAATTGAATTCTCGCGCCACGCCTCAACCTGCCGATCTTTGTCCTCGGGACTTCAACGACAGTGAAGGTCCATTGTGATTGGCTTATTTAGTCATGAACGTCCATTCATGCAGTTCTCATCCTCATCCTTAAAAACACAAGACAAAACAACAAACGCAACGCAACTCACTCGATCTGTTCCATGTCGTTCGTGGGAAGCCCACGACGAGTTTTCTATCAAGGCATCATACCAGCAACCCGATCGTCCACACAAATCTGGTTTGATCCATTCCACTTGCCCATGGTAACGACTTCCGATGACGACGTTGCTAACCCTCCAGCCATCTCGGCGGCACCAAGCCAGGAGGAGCAGAATGATTCAACAACAACCGTGATAAGGGACAATGATAAGCAATCCGATTTGGAAGCTCGAGAACCACCTAAGGAATTGGAAGAAGAAGAAACACGCGCCACAAAAAAAGATGCCAAGCCTTCTGCTAACACTGCCGCCACCATGGACAATGTCATTATTGGCATGGAACAACAACAACAACAAGAAACCCGTGTGACCAAACTGGGTGTCGCGGAAAAAGGAGCAGAACAAGCCAGTTGTTCCGCCACCACAGGTGATCTATCTATTGAAGTTGTAGATTCAGAAGACCTGAATATTGTTATAAGAGACAACGACACGCATGGCATGACGGCAGAGGACGATTTACCCCCTGCAGTAGAATCCACCGAGTTGGCAGCAGATCGATGGGTTGACAGAGTCGAACCACTTATCTTGCGGCAAACCACACCCTGGCAGAGACAAGAGCCAGGGGCGTACATGGGTGCTCCGGGGGAAGCATTACATCGGGCAACCACCCTCCAATACTCTCTTGTGGGTGCTGTCATTAACACAGATCCAATGCCCAACAACAACAGCGTTTCCAATAATCAAACTACTCCAAGCAATGACCAACAGTTGGCCGTGGCAAATTTGGTCGTGGAGGAAGGGCAAATGACAAGGCCATCAGCAGATCCCGTCGATCTGCAACTGGTGCAGCAAAGAGAGGAAAAGAAGAAGAGGCAAAGGCAGCAATTTGTTTGCTTTCTTGTGGCTGTATGCATTGTGGCAGCCATTATTGTTATTCTAGGTGTGGCAGTTGGGACCCGAAACCAAAAGAGGGAGACTCAATCTGCAACAATGACCACTTCCTTCCCATCCATGGAATCATCCCAAGTGCCATCGTCTGCTCCCACTGGAGTTCTGGACATACTGTTGGATAGTCTACCCAACCAAACTTTGGCAAGCATCAACAATGGCAGTGAGACCCCTCAGTGGTGAGCATGGAACTGGCTAGCCAACCATCAAAACATAACTTTTCTTCCTGACTGGAGGAAGGTGCAGTTGTTTGCCATGGCTACGTTCTTCTACTCCTTTGAAGGAGACCATTGGAACCCATTAATACGGGGCCATGGATGGATGGATGACACGGTGGAAGAGTGTGACTGGTTCTCCAGTGGATTAGGGTATTTCTGGGATGTAATATTTCAGGAACATGTACCTGGAATCCAAAATCCCCCTGCGACAACCAAGGGACACTAACTTCTCTTCGTTTGGGAAATCTGGAGCTAGAGGGATTGTTGCCTGCTGTTCCACCAGAGATTTCCCTGTTGACATCCTTGACACAGTTCGCACTAGCATTCTTGGGAGCCAAGTTGTCCTTTGCCGACCTTTTCCCATTGGAGTTCTACAGCATGACAAATATCCAGTTCATTCACCTTGGTCCAGATTTGACCGGTACTCTACCTACAGAACTTGGTTTGATGACAGGTCTGTTGGACCTACACTTCTTTATGAACCTTTTCACAGGTCCAATTCCCAGTGAGCTGGGGCTGTTGACCAAGCTGACAGGGTTGGGCCTCCCGAACCCATATCTTTCAGGCACTATACCCAGTGAGCTTTGGTTGATGACCTCCCTGAAAAAATTGCAGTTGGGCGATGCGTTTGAATTGCATGAACAAGGAAGCCTTCTAAGTGGCCAGATTCCCAGTGAGGTTTGGTTATTACCAGAGCTAAATGGCCTGTGGATTGCAAATACCATGATGACAGGTTCCCTTCCCAGCGAAATTGCAATGGCTACAAACATGGAATCGATTATTTTGAACAACGTTTCGCTGACTGGTTCACTGCCCAGTGAGATTGCAATGATGTCCGTGCTGCAAGATATCGACTTCAGAAGGAATCAGCTATCAGGGCCGATCCCAAAGGAACTGCAACAAATGACATCTCTGGGGTGGATGTTCCTCGATGACAACAACTTTTCTGGTAGTCTTCCTGTCTTTTTGCAATCATCGGCAAACATCACAAGACTAACACTGGGAGGCAACCGTTTCTCTGGCCACATCCCTTCCGAATATGGGGGGATGACGGCCCTGCAAATGCTGCTTTTAACCAATTTGCCATTGCTGACAGGGACGGTTCCATCCGAGTTGAGTTCCTTGTCTGAACTGGTCCGTTTGGACCTGAGCGGCAGTGATGGCCTAATGGGATCTCTGGCAGATGATTTGTGTTACATGCAGAATTCATCATCTGCCCAGTGCCTTGTCCGCTATTCATGCCTTCTCCGCTTTGAATGCACTGACCAGTTTTGTGGTTGTGATTGTCCATGCTCACAGAACAATCAAACAGTCTACGATTAGCAGAATATAATCAATACAATTACTTGAGTATACCGGTACTGGTGCAATATGCTTTGGGTAGCTGGCTAGTGTCGACTTTTTCAAGAAAAGCTGGCTATAAGAAACCACTAGCATTCTCTGTTAGCATCCATCACAAAAGGGACTGCCGAATGTGATGCATAGCTAGGCAGCTAACTAGCTAGCCAGTGGCTTGCTTTTTGGGAGATTCAATTCAGTTTGCATTATTTGCAAGAACAGACAAGGCAGATATTATGATACTACGGGTTAGAGAAGTGGACTGTGGTGGTGGAGGATGGGTTGGCATTTGCAGTTTTACCAGTACCGTACGATGTCTAGTAGTGTGATGGGTGATCCATCACAATGGGAGTACTGTGGCTTAGAGGGAACTTTAGATCCTCCATCCGCAGTTTGGGAGCTACGATACGGCTAGCTAGCTATAGCTCTGACAGCTACAGGTAGTCTGGCTACTAGCAAATGGGTGGAGCCGATCAGATCAATCAATTTTGTGCTCGTTACGTTACGTCCCGATGATACGGTACCGGTACGTTACGATAGACTACATTCTAGCTGCTAGAACAGAAGAAGAAGAAGAGGTCTATCGATAGTGTATGGTGTTCTATTCTAGTTAGCTATTATGTTTAGCTGGCAACATTATTGGGTGCATGGATGCTGTAGTTGGTTGTAGACTAGCTAGTTGTTCGCAATGATATGAAATAAAATGTAGCTTTCATTCGTTTGATGGTTTCTTGAGCAGAGCAGAGCAGCCCAATCCAAAATCCAACCTTCCTGACATTACATCCATCAGTAGATGGATGATGATCTGATGTAAAGTCTAGTCTGGGTGGATTCTTGGAATTGTACTGTCTCCTCCTCGCCATATATAATATATGATCACCTCCATCTTTTCATAGTGTAGTATCGTAGTAGAAAAAGATTCCACTGGTGTTTTGTTTGCAGATTGTCATTATTAAAAAAGAAGAAATCCTTGTGTTTCTTCTGGTTTGATTGATTGGAATCAGGGCACTTCTGTTGTTGTTGTTGGCATAATGGTTTCTGTTTCTATTTCTATTGCTTGTTGTGGTTGTTGTTGTGTATCTGTATCATCATTTCGGGTGGTAAAAAAGACAATTAATCCCGCAATGACAAGTACAGACACAATGAGTCCTGCCATGCAGAGAATGGGAGCACAGGTGATTTGATCACTCCGCCACGTTTGTCTCCATTCGTCTTCGTCTCGGGCACGAAATGTGCGATGTGACGGAAACATGTCTTCCAAGTCCATTACTTGATTCTGATCATTGTCATCATTCTCATCATTCTCATCCTCTTCTTTGGGATCACTAGGTGGATGGGGTACCACTCCTCCTTTTTCTTCTGCTCCAATTTCTTCTTTTTCTTCTTCTTTTTCCTCTTCTTCTTTTAGCTTCATGGCAGGAGCGTGTTCTTGTTGTGTCATCTTTTCGTACTTAGTAGATAGAGCTATAGATAGATAGAGCTATAGATATAGATAGATAGATAGATAGATAGATCGATAGACAAGTTTGGTGAAGGAGGTGGTGATGATGTTGTGGTTGTGGTCGCGTTGTGGTTCAATGCATGGGCATGCAATGGAAGCAACTTCCTTTCTCCAAGAGGGAAGGAGCGATGTGCGTAAGTTCTTGGAAACCAAAGTTCCGGCAAACATCACAATTTTGTTGTTTCAACAGCTCTACTGTTTGGTTGGAAAGCAAGAGCCGGTCGAGGGTATCCGAACCACAACTTTGGACGTGTAAAAGCTGGTCGTTGTTTTACCGAGCGAGAGTTGGTTTGCATCACAATTCTCGCATTAAAAAAAAATCAAAAGCAAAAATCCAACAAAAAGTGGTACTGTACTGTACAGCTGAACCATCACACTACTCATAAGATCCAGTTCACAGGGAGTACCCATCAAACGATCAACACACAAACAACAAACCAACCAACAACACCATCCTACAGAGGCTGATAAAGATGGAGCGCAAGCACCAACAACAAAAAGAAAAAGAGAAAAAGCAAACAAGCAAGAGGACTCCCGCGGTTGCCACCACTACCTACGATGACACTGCGGGAGTTGGAATTTCATCTCCTCCTTTGACCCAGGGAATGATGGACAATGATGATCCAGGGAGTGCCGTATTGCTACAAGATATTCTCAACAAGCGAGAAGCGCTCGAACATGCCGAAGCCATGTACGTGGCGCGTACTAGTAGTTCGCGTGGTACCGCCCACAGAAGGAGTAGTAGCAGCAATAGCAATAGCAAGTCCCACGCCTGCTATTATTACAGTAGTAGCCAAGAGGACGGTCTGATCAGTGGAGATGACGCGGAGACGTATGATACGGGGGATATGGAACTCATGAAGATTGTCGAACAACGAGCCAGTTGGGCGTCGTCGACCGAACTACATGCCATGGCGGATCAAATAGAAGATACCCTGACGGTAGGATCCTCTTCGCCTGCCAGACGTCAGGTATCCTTGCCAGGAGCATATGCCTGTGCTCCCTCTACTATCAGTCCTACACTTCCCAGTATGACTACACAAGACGAACCAAACCCCTTTGTGCCACAAGGCGTCCCGGATCCAGAGTCACTTGTCGTCGTATCTCATCATCATCATCGACAACAACGCCCACCAGCACCCTTCATTGTAGAAGAAGAACCAGCCTTGTCCATTCAGTCGGGAGCTACCACGCAGGCGACGGGTTCCGAAGAAGGAGGATACACACCATCGCCACCACGAACACGAACACGAGATCGAACTTCCTCAACTCGCGCCAAACTCCAGCCCATTTGTCTCTGGACACTCATGCTCTCCATACCCGTATTGGCCATCTTTATAGCCGGGGGCGTCCTCAAGGTCACCAAGAAGAAGAATGCTACCAACACTACGACACGACAGCAGTCTCCCCACAAGAAACCATCCGTCATGCCACCCACTACTACGAGTATGACTACAGCATCACACTTCCAGGACGACGACGACGACGACACGCCGCCACACATCAAAGCTCAACGCTGGTGGGATCACCATCCCAACCGTACATTCTTACCAACATGGAAACAAGATCAGCTCTATGCATTGGCCCACTTTTTCTATGCCTTTGGGGGAGATCAGTGGCCTCTGCACATGCGTCGACGATGGTTGGACACGACTACGGACGAATGCACGTGGATGCGTAATAGTGGCTCCTGTAATGACAGGGGCGCGTACACGTCCCTCTTTGTCAACAACTTGGACTCTTCCAACAAGCGAACGATTCCTTCCGAGATTGCCCTCTTGACATCGCTGGCCAAGATTGACTTGAGTGCCAACCACTTGTCGTCATTGTCATTGGCCGATGTGTTGCCGCTTTCGGTACTCGGTCAAATGACGGCATTGACGGATCTTTGGTTGGATCACAATGCCTTGACGGGAACCATCCCGTCCGAACTCGGATTGTTGACATCCTTGACGGCACTGGTGTGGAATGATAACCTCTTGACGGGCACCATCATGGGCAGCGAACTGGGATTGCTCACGGCGTTGCAACGACTCCATTGGAGTGGCAATCAATTGTCGGGTACCATTCCCACTCACGTGGCATCCCTCACATCCTTGACGTCCCTGTCCTTGTCGGACAATCGATTGACGTGGACCATTGCCTCTCAACTGGCATCCATGACGAGTCTCGTGTCGTTGGATTTGTCCCGCAATGAACTGACAGGAGAACTTTCTTCCGAATTGGGACGATTGACCGCCCTGAAAGTCTTGCGATTGCACTCGAATCGCTTGTCGGGACCACTTCCGACGACTCTTCCAACGGCCTTGCACGTCCTGTGGCTCCAAGACAATGCATTGAGTGGACGAATTCCCACCATAGCGTTGGGACAACTCGTGGCACTCCAGTCGTTGTATCTTCACGACAATCAATTGTCGGGAGACATCCCCGTCAGTCTTTGTGATACCAGTAACGCGCCGCAGCAAAATGCCGTATGGAAGGTGGATTGTTGGCCTCGTTCCTTTGCCGTCAATTGCTCTTGCAGCAGTCACTGTAGTTGCAACTAACTACTGAATGAAAGAATGAATGAATTATGTAAGTACATAGAATAAACTAAATGTAATGCACGCAAGAAGCTTAGTGTTGTGAGTGAGTTGTCCTACATCCGGTTACATGTACATGTATGGGCGGTACCAGGTACGGTACCTGCAGCAAAGCATTAATTAACTTCCATACCCTTCCATACCAGTACTCTAAACAAGGGCGTTGAATGTACGCTGTATGGTACTAGTATAGGCGCGGCGGCTCTCCTCAAAATCGACCTCAACTCTCATGCGGCTTTGGCAGAGATCACGGCACCAACATCTACAATTAAGTTGAAGGAGTTAGAGGAAGTGACGGCCATGCACATGGGCAGAGAGCACAACCAAGTTCACAAAGATGGAAAGACTGCCGCAATGGACATGGATAGGAATGAGAGATCATGCGCTGTGGTAGATTGCTATATAGCTAGAAAGGAAAAGTACTAGTAGGAAGTACCTTTGATCTGGAGCTCGTACAGCACAGCACGATATAGCGACCGTACCGGTATAGCTACTGTACAATCTATGGCTACGGCTATTAATACCGTATGACTGCATAAATACACACATGGACTGTAGATACATACCGGTACTGATACCACTATTAGTAAAGGTAGATCTCTATGGGATTTTAATTAAAAGACTAGTAATTAAAGAAAATGACCTGACAATAAATCGGAAGTTATCCATTGCATAATAGAGCACATTCACGACTGAGCAACGCTCCTGGTGATTAAGTCAGCGGGAGCTGCGATACCTCGGCAGAAAGACAAATAAAGAAAGAGGATCGTGTTTGAGATTGCATCCTTCTTTCAAGGTAGACCTGGCGACAACACCCGACTTCGTCGTGTGTTGCCGCCCGGTATCATTCCCTCATTATAACCTTCTTTTTATGTAAGCTAGCCCTGGCGACAACACCCGACTTCGTCGTGTGTTGCCGCCCACTATCATTCCCTCATTGTAACCTTCTGTTTTATATTAAGCTAGCATTGGCGTAGCCACGGTCTAACCCATAATTTACAGCTATCATTCGATTGTGTAACTCTAAATTTACAACACCTGCTGGCTTATTGTGTTTTTGTCCTGAGTGCACTAACCTTAAATTACATTGATATATTCCTACCCCTAACTTTTATTGAACCTTCAATTTCCAGTTTTGCCAGCTTACATTATCTCTATCCTTATACCCTGGCTTCACCGGAATAGGGGATCCCACAGACACAAAACGAGGGGATCCCACAGACAGAATATTTGCCAATAAAGGGGTAGAGGACTCAGGCAGTTAACCTGCCGAGGTATTCGGCATAATCAATTATACGGTACTAGTACATGGGAGGGCCAAAAGATCTCGAGACTGATGTTTCAAGAAGCCTCCTCCCGACTAGGGATGGACATCTCATGCTACTATCGATAGAACCCTTGCGATCCATTTCAAAGGAATCCTCTTGTCTCCCAATCGATCCCTATTGTCACAGTCGCCTTGATTCTCCCTTGCTAGGATTGCTGTTGATTTACTGTACGATAGAGTTTGTAAACAATTTAACTTTAGAAGACGACGGTCGACGAACCGCCAAAATGGCCCAAGAAAACAAGAACCCCGCTGCTACCGGTATGGATATTGGTTGTGACAAGCCTCCTCTTATTGCTGCGATACCATGTGCTGACGGTGATAGGAAGATGACGCCTGAAGAAAAGGCTCATGCAGAAGAAATACTACGATTGACAGGCAATATTACCGATGCCGTTACGGGTGCCGGCTCGGGTACTCCGATGGAAGAGAAGGAAGCAGAAGACCAGAAACCGGCGTTCTGTGCAACCAAAGAAATACACGAAGACAGCCCAAAAACACCAGCAGAAGAGACACAAGAGATCCTACTAGAAGAGGATACATGCGGCGGCAATAATATCAACAATTTCATGGAGTCTTCCCATGCTGTCGCAGGCTGCTCTCATAGCGCCCCACGCAGCGGCCACAAGCTGTCATTCTTTCCAAAAAAGGACCAGAAATCAAAGATTTCCAAAGAAGATACCATGTATTCTTCTCTTGCTGCCACCGGTGCAGTGCCACTTGGCCACAACGAAAATCAAGGCCGGCTGAGGTTTCTTCCGAAAAAATCAAATGCTGGCTCTATTATACCCCATCACGTGTCTTTTGACGACGAACATCACCAAAGTGCAACCGAAGATAACACAACCCGCAACAGAAGATCTCAACGCAACAATACCGCCTTGTCATTGTCACGGCCTGGTGCATTTGCAGCAGGAGGACCTTCCCCTATTATTGGTAACGGAAATACCCAGATGGAGCCAACAGATCCATTGCCACCCGCGGACAGTTGGATAGCCTATGACAACAACAACATTCCATCCACAAATGACCCGCACTTGGCAGTGGCAAATCTTGTTCTAGAAGATCCAGAGGAGCAACAAACTAATAGGCCCACTGCAGATCCAGTCAATCTACAGCATGTCCAGCAGAGAGAACAAAAGAGGAGGAAACAGAGGCAGAAGTTTATTCTTCTCTTATTTGTCATGCTGGTGATTGTGGTAGCAGTCATTGTGGGAGCTGTGGCAGGAACTCAAAAGAAGGATCCAAAGTTGATTGTCTCCCTATCAACAGATGCCTCCACAATTTATGGTTCCGTGACTCCTTCTGAAATACCATCCTCTGCCCCCACTGGGGCGCTAGACTTGCTGTTGGATAGCCTACCAGACTACACGTTGGCAAGCATGAACAATGGCAGCGAGACCCCGCAGTGGAGAGCGTGGCAATGGCTAGCCAATCACCAAAACATCGCAAACTTGCCTGAATGGAGAAAGATGCAGCTGTTTGCCCTTGCTACTTTTTTCTATGCCTTTGAGGGAGAAAGTTGGAATCCTTTAATCAGGGGCCATGGATGGATGGATGACACAGTGGAAGAGTGCCTCTGGTTCTCCAGTGGATTTGGAAGATTCGTTGCTTCGGGAGAATACCATCAAATTGGCAATTGGCCGTCATGCGATCACCACGGGCATTTCACTTCTCTATGGCTTGAAGATCTCAAGCTATCAAGTCTTTCACCATATATTCCCTTGGAGATTACCCTCATGACTTCCCTGTCCATGCTTGATTTGAAAGAAAATCTCATTACGGTCTCATTGTCATCTCTGCTACCAGCGGGATTAGACGTGATGACTGCATTGGGAAATTTGTATCTGTCTTCCAACCGGTTGTCCGGTCAATTCCTTCTGAGCTTGGCTCCTGACTCATGGAGCTTTGCTTTCTACGAATCAGTTACTGGTCATCCTTCTGAACTTGGGCTCTGACCTCATTGAAAACTTTGACCTATATGAGAATCAGTTCACGGGTCAACTTCCTTCTGAGCTTGGGCTCCTGACCTCATTGGAATCTTTGTACCTATATGAGAATCAGTTCACGGGTCAACTTCCTTCTGAGCTTGGGCTCCTGACCTCATTGAACTTTGCTTTGGAATCAGTTACCGGTCAAATCCTTCGACTGGGCTCTGACCTCTTTATACGCTGGCTTGACCTTTCTGCCAATGAGTGGACCGGTCAAATTCCTCTGACTTGGGTCCTGACCTCATTGAACGACCTTTTGCTTTCGGCGAATCAGTTAACCGGTCAAATTCCTTCTGAGCTAGGGCTCCTGACCTCACTGTGGTGGCTTTACCTTTCTGGGAATCAGCTGACTGGTCAAATTCCATCTGAGCTTGGGCTCATGACCTCATTATTTTCACTTATCTTATCTGAGAATCAGTTCACCGGTACAATCCCAACTGAAATTGGCATGATGACATCATTGACACGACAGTATCTACACAACAACAGCTTGACAGGAACACTTCCTGACCAACTGGAAAGCTCCATGAGGTTGACTCTCTATGGGAATCATTTCTCGGGAACTGTGCCAGAGCATCTTTGTTCTTTTCTATGGTGTTATTGTTCCCTAAATGAAACTCCTTCTGTTACCACCTGTGCTGACCTCGAAGAAGCTCCACCACAGGATTGGTCTGGACGGTTTCCAACCATTCCTGGATCTTTAATCCTGAACATCCATACTGATAAAGATCCACAGGAAACATCTTGGGCTTGGCAACAGCAAGAAACATACAACGGGACTGGTGTTTGGGACACTGTAGAGTCAGGTGGTCCGCTGGCATCTCATACCCATCTTTACTCCTGGCTCTTCTCAGTCAGCCCCAACAACAGCTACAGAGTGGTTGTATCTGACAGTTTTGGTGATGGTTTCTACGTCCCTGGATGGATAACTCTGACAGCTGAAAACAGAACGGTGTTGTATTCCTATGTCAGTATGGATGATCTCTTATTTACCAGTGAGAGTGACTTCTCTGAAATCGTCATTGACGTCATTGTTGGAGCTGATGGTTCTCTTGGTGTCACCAATTCTACTGCATGATGGTTTTACTGTATGAATTTTCCTTCTTTATGAATTCCATGTTGAATATCTGTATCGTACATGTACCAAACAACGATTGCCCTGCAGAATCGACGTCTCTGCTTCTCACTAGCCGGGTATCTCTGCCTCTGGCTATAATAGCTAGGGTGTCTCTGCTTTTGGCTAGCTGGGGTGTCTCTGCTTTGAGCTATAATAGGGGTCTCTTCTTCCACACTGAAACCTCTGCTGGCTTAATTTCTTTTTGGAAGTCACACCTTCTGCCCCTCCACCATCATCAGGTTATTAGTGCACTCAGCACAAAAAACACAATAATCCAGCAGGAGCTGTAAAGGCTATCTAGCTACTAGAGTTATTACAATAAGGGAATGACAGCTGGAAATTATGTATTAGCGGCAACACGCGACGCATTCGAGTGTGGTCGTTAATTAGCTAGGGATAGCTTTTAAAAAAGAAGTTTACAATGAGGGAATGACAGCTTTCTGCGAGCTATCACAGCGCCGCTGGCTTATTATTGACGAGCTGACTGACTCAGTGAGTGACTCAGCCTTGCAGTTCACTGACGCAATTC